TCAGATGGCCTCTCCTTCGATGTCGGCAGCTTTAACTCTATTTCTACGGGAACATGGTATTTCTCGCGCATACCCTCCAACTCCTCCGCGGTAACGGTCGACTTGTCGGCCTTCGTATGCCAGTGATTTGGCTCAACCTGGCTGATTGGCTTTAGAGACGCTATCATTGTGGACGAACGAGGTCGCCCCGCCGGCTCCCCCTTACTCCCCACTCGCCTCTCCGCCCTATATTGCTTTGCCAGGTCCACTACGTCGTCGTCTCCCAAGGCATCTAGTCTCAAATTGGGCATTCCCTCTCGAGCCATCTCTCTGGTATGCCTGCGTATAGCTTCAGATGCTGGTGCGAGATAGTTCACAAAATGTTGCAACGACGTATCCCTCGACATAAAGGAGTTTACACTTGGAATATTTTGGTTGTTTGTAAAGAGTTACGTAAAGCGAATAATACCAAAAGCCCAAGGTTTGCCTATATTCCAAGGGTCACAATTAAATTTCGCCAGTTTGAAAATTTTCAAAAATCCGCCAAAACTGTCTTTTCAACACCCTATAATGACCTATCGTTTCACTTCTTGCCCAACAACTAACCTTCCCCACTACAAGATTCTGCCACATGTACGACCACGATTCATTACCTCTTTCCCCTTCCCTGTCTATTCCACTTCACTTCAACACGTGCCACGTCGCTTCTCGAGCCCCGCGCCACACTACCCACCTTGTGCGGTTGGCCTTCCTCATGGTCGGTTCCTTCACTCGGCCACCCCTCGTGGTCGGCCCTTCTTATGGTCGGTCACCTGCGCGGTCAACCCTCCTGATGGTCGGTCCCTTCACTCGGTCACCCTTCGCGGTCGGCCCTCCTGATGATCGACCCCATCACTCGGTCACCTGCGCGATCGACCCTCCTCATGGTCGGTTCGTCCACTCGGCCACCCTTCGCGATCGGCCCTCCTCATGTTCGGTCCCACCACTCGGCCACCCTTCATGCTCGACCCTCCTCATGGTTGGCCCTACCACTCAGTCACCTACGCGGTCGGCCCTCTTCATGGTTGGTCCCTTCACTCGGCCCCCTCTCTCGGTCGGCACTCCTTATGGTCGGTCACCCCTCTCGGTCGGTCTTCACCCTGCCGGTCTCTCACAACCCTCATTTTCTTCATTATTCCCTTCGTTGGACTAAAGCTGCATTTGGAAATGGGGGACTACTGACATGGGTAAGTCCATAAAAATTATAGCCCACAATTTAGGGCCCAATACATAACTTAAATACTAAAGCCCAGCATTGTTGAAGCCCCACGTAGCAATAAGAACCAATGACATCAAGACATATGGCAAGAAAATGGCAAGCCACATAAGCAGACAAAGATCTGCAAAGTTATTGCCACTGCACATCGCCATTAATGAGGCCTCTTACAGCATTTATTGCGAGATAACCCCTCTCCGTCGGGATAGAAGGCCTTCACCACGAACAAGGTAAGATAGAGCATAGACTTTCGGCCAAGGTGACAGGTCGGAACGGACAACGAAATGATTACCAGAGGATATAAACAGACGTCGAAGACAGGAAGAATGTTAAGCTTTCTATCCCTAATCTATCTCTATATTCCATTTTCTCTAGCTAACTTGCTCGTCGGCGGGTTCGCTGGGGACTCCCCGTTCCCCGTTGAACTTTTGTACAGGTCTTCTAGTGGACTTGGTCATTCGGACATTAGTTTGGGAAGCGTGGATCAGTCCGACCTGTTCCCTCTGGAACCCGCAGTATCATCAAATTTGAATTTGAATTTTGTGCATAACCATTTTGTTACATCAGCTATTTGTGTGAATTTGAATTTGAATTTTGTGCATAACTATTTTGTTACATCAGCTATTCATGCGGCCTTTGAAGGCTGCCTCGTTCCCTCTTATTTCTTGCCCATTTGGGAAAATATTATGGTTCTTAAATAATCTATCAAATTTTTTATCAAACTTTTCATATGGATGTGAGACTCATACAAACTCACATATGTGTGGATCTCACACCCACATAAGATGTTTGATAGAAAATTTGATAGATTATTTAGGATCCCTAACATATGGGTGTTTTGAAAAGTTAGTAAAAAACTAACTTTTTGACTTTTTTAACTTATTTTGTCTTTTTGTGAATAAGCTATATGAGAGGTGATGTGACCCAAAATTGGTAAAACGCAGCTAGCTTTCCAAAAGAGCACATAATTCTACCATTTATCCTTTGAAATAACTCCCATCTCTATGGTCATGGATAGACACGTATCTGATTCTTATTGGAGGGTTTAAATATAACGTCAGTGTTATAAAAAACTAAACTATTTAAATTCGGCTTGATTAAAACTAATACATTAGTTGTCCACCCTCAAGTTGGGTAGTAAATATTAGAGGAAAAATTTTCTGGTGTGTAATGTACACCATATGTAATTTTAATACAAAATTACATAAGTTTTTACAAATTTACATAAATAATCTCACAAAAATATTTAAATTTAATACAAATTCGCGTAAATTTACAAAATTACGTAAGTTTTTATGAATTTATGTGAATTTGTGTTTAACTTAATTTTATATTAATTATATACGTTATTTTTCATGATCATTCTTAAAACGAACTTAAGGAGTCCAAATAAAAAAAATAAAAAAGAAAAAGACCAAGGAGTTGGATAAAAATAAAAATAAAAAAAAAATAAGAAGAAGGAAAAACTCTCCAGTCGTGATTCTTTTGCAGCTGGATTCTTCGAAATCATAAAAATCCTTGATTAGAATGTAATTTCAAGTGTGCACCCTTTTGAGTGAGATTTTGGGAAGGGTTAGTTTTTGGAGAGCACATTGGGAGTGTTTGGTGGGTTTTTTTTGAGTTAATTTATGATTTTTGGTTTTTAAAAGGTTATTTTGTACTGTTTGGTTAAATTTATTTCAAACAGTTTCTGATTTTAACAATTTATTTTAAGTCAAAAAAGCTGCTCACTCCTTACTTTTGATTATCAGCTTCTACTGTGGACATGTTAATTCACTGTTATACTCTTATATTTTTTTATTTTTTATTTTTTAAAAAATTAAAAAATACACAAATGGACTATAAAATATTATTATTATTTTTTATGAGAAATGTAGACAAATAGTGAATAATAAAAAATAAAAATTAATTGAAAAAGTTACTTCACAGTTTATTTAACAAACACTACTCAGCAACTTAAATTTATAATCTAACAGGTATACTAAACAGATTAACAGGTTCTGATTAAAATCATAATCTATAATTTGTTAAGTTATAATCTATAATCTGTTTTAACAGTTACACCAAACATGACCATTATAGACTTCGTTTGAGAAGTGGGTTGACTTTTTGATTTTTTTGACTATTTTAGCCTAGGATTAAAAAACTTGATTTGGGAAGAGTTTTTGGCTTTTTTAATTTTTTTTGACTTCTTTGTGAGAAAAAAAATGTAATGATTATGAGTTAGATGTGATGTTTTGTCTTATTAGGTTAAAAGCTTATTTTATTTTTTGTGACTATTTTAGTCAAAAAAACTCCAAACCTCTCTTTCCAACCGGAGCCATAATAAAAGTTGTAAGATGTGTTTGGAAAAGTTATTGTGGTGTTTGGAAAAGTTGGTAAAAAATTAATTTTTTTAACTTTTTTGATAATTTTTTTGACAAAAAACTAAATTATTTTGAATAAAAAAATAGACTTTTTTAACTAAAAAAAGTTAAAAAAATTAAAAAATTGATTGTTTACCAATTTTTCCAAAGTGCCCCGTTATCTTTCGTTCTATGATAAAATAAGTCGGGGTCTCACACACGGTGATTTATCCTGTAATGAATCTTAGTTTAAGATTGGCTCAAAAAATAAATAAATTAATTTTAATACATTTTAAAATTAAATTTTAACAATCTCCCACTCAAGTAAATTAATTTGTTCACAGCCCAATCTCACATTATTCCATGGACCGTTTGTTTGCTGCAATAGCAGTCCGAACCAGACTAACAGTAATGAATAGTGAATGAATATCATGTTTATTTTGTTTACGAAAGTTGAGATACGTACCTTTCAGACTATGAAAAGTTTTGGGTGAGTGAATTATGAGTCTAGGCGAGAAAATAATATTAAAAAATAAATTTTTTTTTTTAGGACTAAAGCAGTTTAGAGATTGCATTAATTATTAGAAACAATTCTTACAGAAGTTGCAAGAGAAGTTGCAAGAGAATGAGCAGAGTGTACCTCGACTCTGTCTACTTTTCTAGGACAACATGTACAAATTTTTTAGAGCATAACAAAATATCACTCAATAGAGAGTGAAGCTGCTAATCACTATGTTGATTAGAGGTATGCAGAAGTTGCACCAAAACCAGACAATCAGTTATCCGGTTGGACATCCAGTCAATCAACCGACCCAGCGCAATTATTATTTTTTTCTTCACATGTTGGGCAGCACATTTTGAAATAATATTATTTAATAAATTATGTTTTTTTTAAAGTAAAAATTATAATTTTTATTTATTTTATTATTTATTTTATATAAAAATAATTTAATAATTTTTATACTACTAAGGAGTTGTTTGGAATATTCTACATAAGTGCGTTTTTTGACTTTTTATGAAATATAAATTAGATTTAAAAATGATATGACTTAAATAGAATAATAATTTTTTAACTTTTTTAAAAAATACCAAACCTAACCTAACTATCATAAAAATAAATACAATTTTATTTAATTTCCTCGCTATCCACCTCTAACCCTTAAAAACAAACGGCGGCACTTGTGTACCTTGGGCCTCCTCTTGCTATATCTTTGTTCACACAGGTTAACTTCCCGTGAAAGTAAAGCAATTCTAGAATGACCCATTCAATTTGGCATTTCTAAGATCCACACTGACCACAAGGCCCTCAGTAATCCACGTCTTCCACCCAGGGTAAAAGGGCCAGTCAGGCACAGATCACCGGTTCAGTAGTTACCAGATCAGTGGCCCTTATTCACCCCACCGCTTATATATAGCCAAAAAGCCAAAAGCTATATATACATACATATCTCAATACCCACAAATCAGTATCTCTCATACACACACCAACTGTTTGAATCAATGGCCAAGAAAGCAATGGAAGTGATGAAGGGTGTAGACCTAAAGAGGTACATGGGTAGGTGGTATGAGATAGCTTCATTCCCTTCAAGATTTCAACCCAAAAATGGGATGAACACAAGGGCTACCTACACATTGAGGGATGATGGGACTGTGCATGTATTGAATGAGACTTGGAGTGATGGCAAGAGAGGGTTCATAGAAGGGACTGCTTACAAGGCTGACCCATCTAGTGATGAGGCCAAGCTCAAAGTCAAATTCTATGTCCCTCCATTCTTGCCCATCATCCCTGTTGTTGGGGACTACTGGGTTTTGTATCTTGATGGTGATTATCACCATGCCCTAATTGGACAGCCCACCAGAAATTATCTTTGGGTATGTATGTTTTATGTCTGTATATATGAAATTATGAATTGTGTTAGAATTTAATTGCTTGTAATTGATCTAATTGTATGTTTTTTAAGGCTTTTCTTATTATGGTTGCTGTCTTGCTGATCTGTTTAGTTCTTGACAAGTGTTTTTCTTCTTTTACATTGATTTATGCAATTTTACTTTTTGTTTTTTTTTTGTTTTTAACAAACCAAATCAGATTAGGCCTTGTGTCTCAATCAAATGAGGTTGGTTACCTGAATCATTTAATACCATTTTTCTCTGTCAAAGCATATGCTCCATTAAATTAAATGGTTATTTTTCTATTATGGAGAAAAAGAATGAAGCAATGAAAACAAAAATCTAAAAATGTTATGAATATTTGTAAGAATGTATGTTTGTAATTGTTCTGATTGTATGTTTCTATGGGTTTTTAGCATGGTTATTGACCTTCTAATCTCAGTTCTTGACATGGGTTTTTCTTCTTTTATCTTAATTATTGGAAGTAAAGGTAATATTGAGTAAAAATTAAGAGACTATCAAGAAAGGCATTGTATATTTGGCAGTAAAAATTATGGGAGATACTTATTCTTTTCCTTGTATGAATTTGAGATTTCCTATATAGTTTTGCTCACAAGATTGTATGTATATATATAGGAAAGTTATTTTGAATTTTGGTTTCCTCGTTTATCTATGGTTGTTTATTGCTTTGAGTAATGTTGTGCAAACACAAAAATTGAACCAAATTTTCATACAAAATGATGATGTTGATCAGAGTTTGGTTAATGAAAGGCTGAAGATAGCTTGTAGTTTCAATGAAATTTTTGCAAGTTTTATGTATTTGGTTACTCAATAACTCAATTTCTCATTGTTAATCTTTTCTTTTCTTTTGTGGTGTTATTTGGTTTTAGATATTATGCAGGGAGAACCATCTTGATGAAGAGACCTACAATCAGCTTGTTGAGAAGGCCAAAGAAGAAGGGTATGATGTGAGCAAGCTTAAGAAGACACAGCACACTAATCCCCCACCAGAGGGAGAAGAAGGCCCCAAGGACACCAAAGGAGTTTGGTGGATTAAATCCATGTTAGGGAAATAGGCAGTGGCTAATGCTAGATAAAGAATGTCATCTATGAAACATAGAAATAAAAGGGTTTTAGGCCTAAAAACCTAGCTGCAAATTCTAGATTGAAAGTGCTGTTATTTGATTAGCGCCCTTTACCCCTATTATTTCTTGTAACAAGTTTAGTTTGTGGTTGAAAGTTTTGAAGCACTGTGGATTTATAGCTTCCTTTGAATTTTCAATGTTGTCCATGAAACATAGAAATAATGGGGGCTAAAACCCTAGTTGCAAATTCTACTGTATTTGATTATCCTTTGCCCATATTAGTTTTGTGGAAATTTTTTTTATTTTTTACTCACTTGATAGGTGGGTAACCAATAAGGAAATATATTTTTCTTAAATGAGGTTTACCCCTTAAAAAAGGAGGTATTATTCAGCCAAATTAAGCACCCAAAAAAAATAAAATAAAATTGGGTATTACCAGACTATTGTAACAAATCAAATCTCGAGTCTTTTTTTAAAAAAAATCAAATTAAAAGATTTTGAAGTGGTGGTATCAAGTAATTATCTGACTTATTCCATTAACCTATTTATAAGAGAAATTTTTTTGATGCACACGTCACATGACACCATCTTGCATTTTCAAATCCAATCTATACTCATCTGCATGGAAAATGTATGAGGCCCTCAGTGAGGGTGCTGGGGGTCTCTTCCCATTGATCCAAAAAATTGTTTTTTTTTTTTTTTTCTTGTTTTCCTCCATTGGCAGCCCCCCACGTGGAGATGGGGGGGTGCTGGGGTCCTCTCCTGCTGGGGTCTCCAGCGGGACTCTATCTGCATTCATCAACAATCCATCAGATGTGATGCCTATAATAATGTTATAATCCGCATGATCACACTGGATAAATCCCTCTATCAATTCTCCATAATCAAATAACTAAACGAAAAAGTCAAGATTTATTACAGTGACTTAGGCCTCATTTGGGAACATGTTTTTTTTAGTAATTTTTTAATTTTTTGGTTAAAATATGATGTAAAAAAAATTAATATATTTGAGATGACTTTTTAGCTTTTTACAAAAAGATGTGCAAAAAGTAGAGAGAAAATGAAATCTTTGACTTTTTTGTATAGGTTGTTGGCTTTTTAACTTTTTTAGTAACTTTTTAACTTTTTGACTAAAAAAGTCACTTGCCAAATGAGGCCTAAATTTTAGAGTTCAATTTGTAATTTTCTCAATAATTTTGTAAAGAGATTAGGGTAATGTTTGGTTTAGTTTTTAAAATATGATTTGGATGAAAAAATAAAAAAGTATGATTGGTCAACAATTTTTTAAAATACAACTCAAAACTCAATTTTCTCTTTCCCCTCTCTCTCTCTCTCTTTTTTTTTATTATTAATAAATCAATCAATTATTTTTTCTTTCTCCTCTCTCATTCTTTCACATTCTACACATCAATTAATTAAATTTTTTTCTCACTTTCATGTATTCAACTAAAAAAAAAATTACAAATCATTCAAAAACTATTTTAAAAACTCACAACCAAATAATATTTAATTTTTAAAACTTTTTTCAATAACTTATCTTTCGAAATATAATTCAAAACTCATTTTAAAAACTTGTGAATGGAAGTTTTGAAGCATGTGCATTGAAATTGTAGATTTTTTAGCTTCCTTTGTTGTGAAGCTTTTTGAATTTTGAGTGTGAGATTTTGAAATGAATAATGTTTTTAGAAACTTGGGGTCTGAGGAGGACAAGTGGGGTCTTAAATTCTAGTATGTGGACCTTAACTAGAGAAACTCATAAATGGTCCCCTTATCATGTTGACTGTTTATTTTATGCTCATTGTTTTCTAGTACACCCTTGTTCAAATATGTTCTCATTATCTGATGTAACTGGCACTGTGGCACCTATTCAAAGTTGGTTTTTTTATTCAAACCTGGCAAGAGATGTGTGAGTTAGTAAGTTAAGTTAGCTTAATTTTAAATCTTAAATCACCCTTAAATTTGGTTATATATTTTAAAAAAAATTAATGCTGAGATTGAATTTAAAATATGTAAACAAATAGAAAAAATGTAACATAATAATAAAAGTCAACCCTAAAGTTTACCACTGTGCCATTGATTAAGTGCACACCATGTATCCAATATCAATAAGAATACACCACGTATCTAATATTAAATGACACCCCCTCGATTACCCAATAATATGTCTCCCTTCCTTTTGAGGTGAATGCAATGAAAGAAAATTATTTTGTTCACACAATTGACAGGTGAGTAAACAAAACAAGGCGGATTACAGTAATGGTCCCTGCACTTTAGAATTTGTGTCACTTTAATTCTTAATTTTTTAATTGTAATACATTATTTTGAATTTTAAATCTTGTTTTAAATAAGGACAATTGCTTAATTTTACAGCAAAATCGTCAATTTGACAAAATGTAAACTAATTTGACAAAAATAAATATCAATTTTTTTTTTGAATTTTTAAAAATAATTTTACCTACTAAAGATAAAATTATGTAAATTTAATAAATCTTTTAGACATTTATTTATTTATTTATTTTTACCAAATTAATTTTTATTATGTGGTTAGATGATGACATTGGTGGTTGTTTTTATTTTCATTAAATTAGTTTCTATTTTTTCAAAAGTTAAATATGTCGACAACTTTGATATCATTATTAAATCAATCCATTAAATCAAAAAATCCAAAACTAAAAACATTTCCTATATTAAATATATTGATTACACATTAAAATCTTAACAACTACCTATTATATGACCATCATCCAAACACATAATAATAATTAATTTAGTAAAATAAATAAATAAATAAATGTCTAAAAGATTTATCAAATTTTCATAATTTTATCTTTGGTGGGTACAAATAATTTTTAAAAATTTAAAAATATTTTTTGATATTTATTTTTGTCAAATTAGTTTATATTTTATCAAATTAACGATTTTGCCCTTGAAATTAAGTAATTGTATCTTCAATTATTTTTATTTAGAACAAGATTTAAAATACAGAATCAAATGTGTTACAATTAAAAAGTCTAGGATCTAAGTGACACGAGTCCCAAACTATATGGACTATTAGTGTAATCCGCCCCAACAAAATATATTTTCTAGAGATGAACCCATTTCGATTATCCAAACCATTCAATTTGTAAGACCCTTTACTCATATATATTGTCCATAAATAAAAAAAAGATTAATTCAATAATTGTAAAATTTTATTTTATTGCATCGTCTATAAAAATAAAAATAAAAAAAAGAATTAGATAGTCTATTTTTTAAAAAACTATTGTTATTTATTTTTTCAGACACAAACACAATTAAATGAATAAGCTACAATTATCAAATTGATATAACTTTTTTCATGGACAATATACATGAAGGATCCTACAACATAAACTTTTCAAATCATCGAAACAAAATTTCTGATGAGCTCTATATAAGCCCAAAGAACACCCTCCTGTCCAAGGTGAGGCAAGTCCAATCCTATTTTCTTTTGATTGAAGTAGTGTAATGAACTCCACTTAAAAGTGTAATAATCCCATTTAAAACAAAAGAATCCACCACTAAATAGGTGATTTGCTCAACATTTGTCATGTCTCTGAACAAAATCGAACTCAATCAAATAAGATCAAATAATTTTGAAGGGGTTGGAAAATGCAATAAATTTTACCCTGGGGACTTTGGGTTTTACATACCAACAATGGCTATATGCACAGAAACCATTAGAGAATAGTCAAGTCTTGTTTGTCATAATTTAAAAAAGTCAAAAAATCATTATCCTATTTAAGTCACATCACTTCTCTACCACATCACTTCAAACCTAATCCATATTTTATAAAAAGTCAAAAAATACACTTATTTAAATCATCCCAAACCAACCCTTAGTTTTATAGAGACAGAAAGTAGAGCCCATATGTAAGTCTTGTCCTGTTTATCTCGTGTATATGAACCATTCTGTGAATGATTATTTTACAGATAGATGTACCCTTTACAGTCATCAGGGCAAGTTAACTTACTGTGATAATCATATCATATCAAACAGGAACAGAACTTAAGAGAGATAATGGATTAAGATGGTACAAATAAAGCTAGGGTTGTAACAAGCCAAGTCAATTAGTCTGTAGTTTATGTTTTTCAAATGCACACAAACTAGACACTTGTTCACCTCTCAAAATTTAACCGAACCAAATTCAAATCTAGGTCAAAACAACAATCAACAATCAACATTTTGTCATCCATCATATTTTAACTATCATGATAGTATCTTTTACGATCGTACAATATTGTTATCATGATTGTTATCATGCATACAAACTAGACACTTGTTTATATCTTTTACATAATGAATCAATTTCAAACAAATTTTTAACAAACCAAAACACAAGAGAACAATATAATTCCAAATACAAGAAAACATGATGGTACTATGATTGAATCATTCCAATTGATATTACCATTTCAAATCTGTACAGGGAAAAAAGAATGATCCGTGTAACACAAGAAGATAGTACTGAACTCAAGGACCATAAACATGCACTAATATTAGGATATGAATTATGAAAGGCATTGCAAATGTCAATCAATTCACTTCCAATTTTTTTTTTTTTTTTCCTTTTCAATCTGGAAACCAAGATACAAGAGAGAGAAATCCATAGAATTCAGCCAAGCAAACAATCGTAAAAGATAAAAACAACAATCAACATTTTGTCATCCATCATATTTTAACACCAGAAACAAGTAAATGCCATGATAAGATCACCTTCTCACTTCAGAAGCTTACAATATTGTACAGCATTGATTGGTTTTCTTCGCTTGTTTGTAGAACATCTATTAAAAACAAACCAACATCAAGTACCTGTATTAGTATAAATAAAAATATTCCATGGTAGTTATTATAACAAATACAAAAGAGATGCATCTAAAATGAGATCTATAATTTAGAAACCAAGTACAATAAATCGCCCATCACAAATTTTATCTTAATAAATTGAATAACCATCACTAGATTTGGTCCATGATCTTTTATTTCCAAAACATGCAAAACTGAATCACAATCATTAATCTCACTATCAAAATTGTCCAAATTCCTTTAGTTATTTCTTTTTCATCCTAAAGAACCAAAAAAAAAAAAAGAAAGAAAGAAAGAAAGAAAGAAAGAAAGAAAAATCTTTCTACCAAACAACAATTAGTTGATAGATGAGCAGATTCATGTACAGTGGTCAACGCTAGATGCCTTTTTGCAAGCTTTTTAGGTTGGACATGATTATGGTTGACAACTATAGATGTCTCAAATTTTCAGAATGGATCCGTGTATCTTGGCACCCGCCCATCCTGACTGTCGTCCCTAAAGTCAAGTATTATTGGTAAACAATAAAATCAAGAATGTAATTTATGATATAACGGTTATTTTATGCACCCTAAAATGGGAATGAAGATAAGAAGAATAACAATTGATTTGATCCAACTTTAGGTACATAGGGAAGACAAATGTAAACTCAAGCCTTTCTTAATGATGTATTCCACTCATTGGACAAAAGAATGTGTGGATTATCCTATCAAGTTGAACTTGAATCCTGTTTGCATTACATGGAGGAGACCAGTCCACTGAATAGGGAAAGGATACGGCTCAGAGATCAGATCAGATTGAAACACAGTACTCTAATATAAATCTTACCATGTGGGAAGTGTTCATTACAGTAGTTGCCGCTCTGTTTCACTTATCAGAATGTATTTATAACATGAAATCCATGAGAGACATAAAGCTACTACATTTTATATGACTGGGACTCTAATTCAACTCCACTCAACAAGCCATTTTGCACCGATTATTAATGTCGGCCAAGGGGACCTCCAAAAAATTACTAAAAAAACAAATAAAGAGTTAAAAGTATATGTTGTTCCTTGATAAGAAATATCCAGATACTATGATCACAATAGTACTGTAGCACAATAGTAATTTGATTTTTTTCCCAAAAACTACTATATCCCAAGAATGCCCCCATAGTAAAAGAGCACCATGCGTGCAAGCACACTACTTCAATTATCACCTCCACTAGAAGCATTTTATAGAAGTACTCAAGTTAGATGAACAGTCATATTCATGTTAGATAGCTTTAACCACCAACAACCTCAAAAGCCTTTTATGCTCACTCAGTTGCTAAATATAAACCAATGACATAAATGCTTAATTGCTCATGTCCCACTCAAAATCCACTTCACAGCTAGAACCATGATATCTATACAAATCATAGTTGTCAAATCGGGATTCGTATCGTGAATCGAAATGGCCTCGTACCGAATCGCGAATCGAATCGAATCGTGAATCGTAAAGATTCGGTCACTTTTTTAAAATTACTTAAAAACATATATCTACACATTTAAATGTTAAATATATCTTATGAATATAAAATATTTAGACTTAAATCAACAAAAATGTTATTTTGAAGGATAATCACGTAATTTAATAGGTAAGAAGTTAACAAAGATTCCTATGTAAAATCACCATCTTACCTTCCTTTTTTTTTTTTTTTATAGATATTTTTTATCAACCATTCTTAATAAAGATAATAACCAAATAGACAAACTATTAATTTCTAAAGTAACAATAATTAACAACGATATTGATATTTGGACAATAAGCACATATACTTTTCTAAGTAAGAGTAAGCAAATAATAAGAAAGAATTATTTAGGATATTTTATTTTAAAGCCTAAAACATTTTAAAAGGTATAACTGACCTCACACATGTAATATTCAATTTAATGAAATAGTAATAGATAATTCATAGTGTAACTTTAATCTTAAACATCTTTAGAAGATATATTATAATTTTTTGAAGGGAAAAAAAAAGAAGAAATGTTAAAAATATGTTAGGTCTGACTGAATCTGATTGGATCCTATAAAAAACTCCATGATCACTAAAATAACAACAAATCATACTTCTTAATTCCACTCTCAACGGAAACTAATTATTCAATAAAACTAGTGTATCAACTCAAATAAATAAATAAGAACAGGAACCAAGATTTTGTAAATATCGTTAAGCTAATGCAGTTATAACGCAACACTCACAAGAATAATTTTTGTTTCATCCAATTCCCTCTGTATTTTCAACAACTTGTCAGCTTCAGCTGGGTCCTGAAGAATTGAAAGCAAAAGACAGAGGTTACAGCAAGTAAATTATTACTATTTCGTTTATCTATGTGCATACTATGATCAAATTCAAACGTTATATTTAGAAAATGAAAATTTATTTACAGAATAAGTAATTGCTTCAGTTCATCTTCGGTATAAGTCAACAAATTGAACAGAGAATGTTTTATGATAAAAACATGAATAGGAGCATAAATATGATGTCATATGACCGCTGCTAACTCAACTTAAACGAAAACTGGCAGATACCTGAAATTTGGCGAGAGCTTCATTCAAATAGGGCCACGGTTGAGTACTATCTGTTTGCACAGTTCTCCATGAATCACCAAAATTCTTCTGGTATTCATCTAGCACCTAAAATCATCAACCCAGTGAATCAACCTCTCAATAAACTATATGTGCTGGATTTCAAGGCACTAATTTTAACAATCTTGATACTTGGCTTATGTAGAATTCAGTAACTCAGCCAGTCAGAAATTCAAAGTCATTTATTGATAGCAAGTGTAAGAGACAATTCTATACAAATACTTATGGAGGATATGCTCAAAATTACCATTTTGGGGTCTCATTCAATTTTCTTCTTCTTTGTACTTTCCCTTTTTCCACCTCTTTCATTTCTTCTTCTTCATACAATTTAGTTATATCAATGCTTATTTCATTTTAAACACTGTGTGAACTTTTATATGCGTAAAAAGTGAATCTTACAATTCATAATTCAATATGATTCACTATTTTTGTTTTTCATTTCTTCACTGAAAGGCATAAACGAACCTTCACCAACAAATGTAATACTCCCTCCGTCCCATTTTGATAGTCCCTTTTGAAAATTCTAACTTTTTTTAGGGTGCATGTAATCATCGCATTTGAATTCAAATTTTAGAGCCTTATTCCAATAATGCCCTTCTCTTTTCAATTTTTGATATATTTCTAGCCATTTAAAAAGGGTAATTGTGGAAAAATAAATATTTTTTAACCTGACTATTCAAAATAGGACTAACATTTTGGGACATCCTAAAATGGAAAGAAGAACTAACAAAATGGGATAGAGGGAGTACCAAATAAGTCATCCACCAACAAAGCTAACTTAAATCGAGTAGATCCAAACTAATCTTACAGAGAAATCTAAAAGCATATTAAAAATTAACTTGAAAATGGGTATATCCACCAACCTTTCACTCTTTAAGATTCAACAAAAAAAAAAAAAAAAAGTTTCTCTCTCCAAACTCAAGATGTTTATCCTCCTTGAGTTTGAGGGGGGATGTTAATGTATATGTGGTATTCCTAAATATATTAGGTATTGATTTCCTAGATATATTTAGGAATAGCCAAAAACTGACTGACAATGTGAACTGCATGAGAGATATCAAGCCGAGTAACAAACAAATAGACCAAACTATTTACTAATTGTCGATATAGAGTGGCATCAGAAGGAGAGTGCCCTCCAAAGAGGTAAGACGAGCATTGTACTCAAGCGGGGTAGGAGCAGTCTTACTATCCGTGAGACCAGCACGAGATAAGAGATCAGATGCATATTTGGCTTGAGTGAGATACAAACGCCACTTGGAGCAGAAGAAATCTCAAGACCAAGAAAATAACTAAGAGAACCCAGATCTTTCATCTCAAAATGAGAGCTGAGAAAATGTTTCAGCTCATGAATGCCATCAAGATCATCACCAGTAATAATCATATCATCAACATAAAGCAATAGAAGAGTAATGCCACGGGGCGTCTTGCGAATAAAAAGAGCAGAATCATAGGAACTTGAAGAGAACCCAAACTGAGTAATGGTAGTACTGAACTTTGAAAACCAAGCACGAGGAGCCTGCTTGAGGCCATAGAGAGCACGATGAAGGCGACAAACAGTATCTAGAGGATGCTCATAGCCTGGAAGAGGTTGCATGTAAACTTCTTCAGTCAAGTCACCATTGAGAAATGCATTCTTGACATCCATCTGAGATAAACCCCACTGACGTGAGGCAGCAACAGCAAGTAAACTACGAACAGATGTAAGACGAGCAACAGGAGCAAAAGTCCCCCTCATAATCAATACCATACTCCTGAGTGAAGCCTTTAGCAACTAGACGGGCTTTGTAACATTCAATTGTACCATCAAAATGAGTTTTGATTTTATAGACCCATTTACAACCAATAGGAGTTTTGCCAGAAGGAAGAGCAACCATATCCCATGTATATGTAAAGTCTGTAACTCATCTGCCATTACTTGTTGCCAAAGAGGATTAGTGCAAGCTTCATGATAGCTATGAGGTTCATGGTGACTTAAAATGGTAGAAAAACACCCCTTTAAACTGTTCCGACATTGATTCCGGTTAGCTCCTACATCGGTACATCGGTCCAGCATAACCCCTTTAAACTGTCCCGACATTGATTCCGATTAGCTCCTACATCAGTCTGGCATGACCCCTTCAAATTGTCCCGACATTGATTCCGGTTAACTCCTACATCGGTCCGGCATGACCCTTTTAAACTGTCCTGGCGTTAGTTCCAGCCAATTCCGACAATGGTCCAACACGACCATAAATTGTCTCTCAGCGAGTGGAGCAGAAGCACAAAAATATATATATATATATATATATATATGATAGAGATATTTAGGGTAGGAATAAACCAATGGATAAAAGAAGAGATCACCACGAAGCACTATTGACAAGAAAATATGACAGCGGAATAGGTTGAGGTCCAGCGAGTGGCCAAGACGAGGCTGCCGCCCACCGGTGAAGCAAAAATACTAGGTTCTTAACCTAACTCTGATACCATGTTAGAATAGTAGAGAAAGAGAGGAAATAATATGCATTGTATTGTATAGAATATATTCAACTCTATAATATCATTCAATACATATTTTGCTCCAAACCTTTCAAACTCCCTTTTTAACTTTGATCTAAATTTCTAAATTACTAATCTATAAGATTTGTGGGTAGATTTTTTTTTTTTTGATAAATAACAACTTTATTAAGAAAGCATCAAGAAGATGCATAAAAACCAAGACAACAAAAAGAAGAAAACCAAACTTGCCTAACCAATTACATCATCCAAGAAATCTAAAAAAGAAACTTTACATTCTAACCAACTATACAAAGTAACCAAGAAACGATCCTCCAACCACAACACCAAACGCTGAAGTCCTTGAAAGATTCTCCTATTGCGTTCCAGCCAAACCAACCGCATTAAACAAAAAGGCACCAACGACCACACCCGTCGCCAAGATCTCCCAACTCGGGCCCCCCTCCAACTCCACAACATGTCGACAACCCCTTTTGACTACACATTAAACAACATTACCTCATCCAATGTCTGATCACTGGCCTATTATGCTTGATAGTGGTGGGTTTCGTAGTGGGCCGACGCCTTTCCGTTTTGAAAATATGTGGTTGCAGTAAGAGAGGTTTGTAGAGATGGTTTAAGAAGTTTTAATTTCTAAGCCAACATGCAACTACAAGAACCACGAACCAAATAACTGCTCCACCATCTCTGAACCATCTCTACAAACCCCTATGACTGCAACCACATATTTTCAAAACGGAAAGGCATCGGCCTACTACGAAACCCACCACTATCAAGCATAATAGGCCAATGATCAGACACTTGACGACGTAATGTTGTTTAATGTGCAGCCAAAAGGGGTTGTCAACATGTTGTGGAGTTGGAGGGGGGCCCGAGTTGGGAGATCTCGGCGACGGGTGTGGTCGTTGGTGCCTTTTTGTTTAATGTGGTTGGTCTGGCTGGAACGCAATAGGAGAATCTTTCAAGGGCTTCAATGTTCGGTGTTGTGGTTGGAGGATCGTTTCTTGATTACTTTGTATAGTTGGTTAGAATGTAAAGTGGATCCGGATATATTTTCTTTTTTAGATTTCTTGGATGATGTAATTGGTTAGGCGAGTTTGGTTTTCTTCTTTTTGTTGTCTTGGTTTTGATGCATCTTCTTGATGCTTTCTTAATAAAGTTATTATTTATCAAAAAAAAAAAAAATCTACCCACAAATCTTATAGATTAGTAATTTAGAAATTTAGATCAAAGTTAAAAGGGGAGTTTGAAAGGTTTGGAGCAAAATATAGCCATAAAATATGTATATATATATATGGCTTTCAAAATTCCTACCGTCAATCTACCATTATGGCACCATAATAAGCTGGTAAAAGCATTATGATATACTGTAATAGCAGTCACTACAGCTCTACAAAGACATATGTCTGTGAACTTCAGTGTAGGTATATCAGCCTGTAGAGGGCCATAGCCTATTGAAACTGTTATATAACGACCATTGTTTTTAGAACACTAGAACGAACACAAAGGAACAAAGGGATAAATTGGTCTTGTAACCCAACACAACTTGAAGTCCCAACCAAACCCAATTGGTAAAACAATTGAACCACTAAGTTCTACCAATTGCTTGAGTAGGGGTTGGTATAGTATAAGTAAATGTAATAGCCATGACCAATAACTTTCTTCCACTTTCTGAACATCAACTGCCGTGCAAGCGACATATTGAAGTAAAAAGAACCTTAAGCAAGACAAATGAAGAAAATAATTATTACTGAAGATGGTTAAAATAACAATAGACTAACAAGACACAAATTTTCCATATGTCCCCATTTCAATGCTTATCAACATATTCAGTCTTTTAGCAGTCATCAATCTGCAACTTCTCCAATGGAGGCATGCATACTGTGTTTATAATCAACCTACTCACTTTTTCCAAGAAGAAAACGGTAACAGCCTGAAAATTACATTTGGGATCAACAGCATACATATTCTTGTAATCTGAATTATAAAAACATCTGCCCATGTTCACATTTGCATACCATGTACACAAAATCCAACAGAAACATAGTATCTAAATAAACTTCAGGCAACCATTTATTGAAAGAGTGAATGAGTAAAAATTTAAAGTCATCAATCCTTCCCTATGTTACCTAGAATGCAAATTGTTCTAGTACAAGGAACAACAATGGGAACGCGGAAATGTGGTGCAATAGAGATAAATTCTTGATTTTTGGCATCCAATATGTTAGTGTAATCATTCAATAACATAATTCTCTGACCCATTATTTTACATTTTGTCAATCTAAAACGCCACTTCATCTAGATTTTAGTTGATTGTATTTAAATTTTTCCCTATTGAAAGAGAACTTTTAATGAAAAACATTGCTAAATTCATTTTTTTAGAACGAAAGTGTACCATATTTTGAAACATGTGTTCCAAAATGTAAATTACTAGGGTGTTAGTGTTTTCTGGTAACATTGATCCTTCCCAAGAATAAATGTAAGTGCATACATAATTAAATCTTGCAGGCCTATCATTTAACATCTCATTCATTGATGTCAATAACAGATGCTAAGATATAAACGACATCATATGAAATCAGTGTGTGGAAAATTTTCTATCTTATGGTTTCTTCTTATTTTTCATCGTTTATCTATATTAATCGTGTGAATGAATGAATGAACTGCTACTTACAGAGATCTCACTACAATAATTACATAAAATTGAACATACAACAACAATTTATGATGTAAAAATAAATTTCTTGTCACAACTACATATGTAGTAAACATTTACGAAATCAATGTCTCTCCAAGTATGTAATAGTATTTCTTTGAATTGGAAAATTGAATTTTAAATCATATTAGCACAGGAGCACAGAATCTGAAGGTATAATGATTACTAGCATTTCTACATAAAGATTTTAGTTGAGCTTGAGCACCCGCTGTTCTCCAACAAGTAAGCAGCTTTCTATACAACGATTTACCTGCTTTCGATACAACGATTTACCTTGGTTTATGAAGCAACGACACTTCAAAATAAGTGCCATAGTCGTGTCGAACATGGGAACACGTATGGGACAACCCACATGGCATGTCTCTTTATTTATTTATTTATTTTTCACGGACACTTGGGATGGGACACACCAACTAGTTTTTCCCCCCTTTCTTTAGTGCTTTTAATGGATGTTGAATGTTTATTTCTTTTTGCTGAGATTTAAATACTTAATAGATCATCTATAAATAAGATATAAATGATAAGTGTTAATTTAAAAGTGATTTTGTTTTTAATATTGAATTAGTGTCAATTTTTGTTAATTTTGATTGTTTGCGGATATAATATTAATCTAAATAGCAAATAAAAATATATGAAAAAATATTTTAATGCTATGTCCCCACCATGTCCCCATTTTTTTGAAATCACTGTGTCTCGTGTTCGTGTCCGTGTTTCTTAGACCTCAATTAAAAGAATACAAACATGTTTTTGATGATATAATAACATTTGAATAAAACAACATAAAATGATTATTGAACTATTCTTTGAATGCACCTGTTCATTTCTAGGAACCATTTCTTAGCAGCATAAATAAATTTGTATAGTGAAGTGAGCATACTCATTGACAGATTAATAATCCACTTCAAATAGTACAAGAATTATACACTTCATGGTGCCCAGCAGGTAAGGAACCAAATTATTTCAAATCAAATTATACACGTACAAATAAAGCAACAAAAGTGAGATTACCTTGTTAAGCAGAGAAAATGCACTACGGACTGGGTAGTGATCATCCATGAAACCCACCACACAAAGGCCATTCCTATTGTATGAATGTACTTTGTATTCTGTGAAGCAGAAAACAAAAGAATTCTAATTTAGCCAACTCAAAGTGCATCTTGACATAAACCAAAAAAACAAAAAAAAAATTCCACTAGTAGAGCAAAACTCTGAGAATGAATTTTACTTAATCTGCTTTTGAGAAACAAGGCAATGCTGGCCTTGAAGGATCCAAACTTTAACACAATAATGAACCTATATATATATATATATATATTTTTCTCATTTGTGTAAAAAAATCAATATATATCACACTTTAAGACAAAAGTTTATCCACAAATCACTAACCATAAAATAAAGGTGATCTAGTGCTCTAATCAATTTTCATTATTGGGAAATTTCATATTTATTTTAAAAAATAAATAAATAAAACCAAATTCCTAGCAATTAAAACTATTGTTAAGAAAAATTAATACCAAAACAACACAACATCCAGATGCTTCAACTCTTCCTAGTTTTTTCCGAAGTCCACTACTTCAAATTAGACTCCCAATTCAATATCAGTTCAAGCTTCTTTAAGAAAGCAAAAGTTCCAAAACTTCTTCACCCAAATAATGCTGAATTTTATGATTTACAGCCTAATTTCCTAACAAAAGAATAGTGCAAAGCCAGATCAAGCTTCCAAATCCAAACCCCCATTCACTAAGTCAGATTGCTTGTTTTCATTTTTCAGAACACACTTTTCAGAAAATTCTACTTTCTTATTTTTTTGTTTTTACTGAATTTTTTTACTTTTTAGACATATCTAAAATAAATACACCTAAAAAGTAAAAAAATTGTAAAAAAAATCTTTTAAAAATTCACTAAATATCAAAAATACAAAAAAAAATGCAAGAATTCAGTACAATTTTTTAATATTTTTATGCATTTATTAATTTTTTAAAATATTTTTTTACAAATTTTTTACCTTTTAGATTCATCTAAGGTGCATCTAAAAAAATAAAAAATATATTTAAATTTTAAAAAATATTCACTAAAAACAAAAGAATACAAAAATCAAAAAACTCAATATTCAATCAACTTAATTCAGAAAACTCAAACCAAACCCACTGTATCTTAGCAACCTCAAATACAAAACCAGTACTTCATACCATTTCTCCATAAAAAAAGGTACTGAATTTCATGAATTCCCAGCATAATTTCCTAACAACACTACTGCCCAAACTCAGATCATGTTTCAAATATCCAAATCTAAATCACCAAAATTACAAAACCACAACACCATCGATTTCTTCACCAAAATAGTACAGAATTCACGCCTAAATTCTTGACAAACAGAATTGCCCAAAATTGGATCAAACTTCGAAATCCAAACCCTAATTCCCAATTCTGCCAAACATTTAAAAAAAAAAACTGATCAGTCGGTAAAACAAAAACAATCTAAACACAACAATTGAGAAATCCAAAACCCTAATTCCAATAACAAGAATTGAGAAATCGAACCTTCGTGTTGGACCGATTGGCGTTGGCTAGGTGGGGTTCGTTTAGCGACGGTCCGACCGACGAAGACGATGAACTCCCTCACGCTCGATCTCTGGAAGTACCCGAAATGGCTCACATCCGTGGCGTTCGCAAGAATCACCGGATCGGTTCCCTCTGGAGTGCATTTCAACACCAACAGCCCCGTGATCTTCATCTCTCTCTCTCTCTCTACTTTCTCTCTCTAATAAACTCTGCACTGGAGACGAAGAGAGGGATCAAACGGTTCGATCAGAGTCGAATGGGAAAGATAGCGTAGAGCAGTTGTATTTAACGGTACGGTTCAGATTTTATATCGTGCGATTCAACGGCTTAGCTGTGACGCTATGTGTGATGCCAATTCAATTGCCTTTTTATGCCACGTCATTTCAATTTAACATCAAATAAAATAATAGATAAGTTAATAAAATAATAGATAAGTTATATTTTTTATTCTCTAATTTGACTCTAATCCTTATTAGTATTTTGATATTTTGATTTGCTTTATATATAGTTTTAGTTGTGGTTTGGCAATTGACTTTTTTAATTAATTTTTAAATTTTTTTGATTATTTTAATTTGGGATTAACAAGTTTGTTTAGGTTTATTTTTTTGATTTTTATGAGATAAGAAGTGAAATGATTATAATTTGGATATGACGTTTTGTCTTGTCGTTTTAACCTATTTTGTTAGTAGCTAATTTATCCCCAACTTTTTTGCCAAACAAAGCCTTAGCACTCGTTTAGGAAAAGGCTATGGGGTTAAAATAGCCACAAAAAGACAAAATTAACTAAAAAATTAATAAGATAAAATATCACATCTAAATCATAATCATTTTATTTTTTTCTTACAAAAGGCAAAAAAATCAAAAAGTTCATCATAAACGAAACTTTTTAGTCTTAGGATAAAAAAGTCAAAAAGTCAACCCACATTCTAAATGAACTCTTAATTTGATCTGTTTATTTAAATTGAATGGTAAGTTACAAGATTTTTAAACTTGTATTAATCATAATGCTCCGTTTGGGAATATGTTATTTTAGTTGATTATATGACTTTTTACGAAAAAGATGTGTAAAAAAATAGAGAGATATGATGGAATATTTTGTTTTATTAACTATTTTAGTCTAGGATGAGTTATTTTAGCCCATCCCAAACACCTAGTGTAAACGTAGATAAAATTGATGGTAATTTAAACAAAATCATCAAATTAAAATTGAATTTAAAATCTATGACTAATATTATTTAAAATGAAACAATAATAATCAAAATGAAATATGAATTGAGCTATAAGGATAAATATATATATATTATATATATAATTTAACCTAAAATAATTGTGTGCTCACTTTTTTACATTATTTATTTGTTTTTTTTTCCATAAATCTAAAATTTAAATCAAGAAGATACAGTGAAGGCATGATCCAAAATAAATAGAAAATATAGAAAATATGAAAAATTATTGGATTCTTAGAAATGTTCAAAGCTATAAAGCAAAGAAGAAAAGAAAGAACAACTAAAGATAATGGGCAAATGGGAGTATTTTCATTCAACCACCAAAAGTGGGATTGGCGGTGGAGAATTTGACTTTTTGAAAGAGAATAAACATGAAATCAGGTAGCTCTATGGTAATAAGTGTTTACGAACCCGATTGATCTGATTGATCTGTTAAAATTGATTAATTCAACTTAATTCATTTATTTTTAGGCTATTTCCATAATATGTATGGAAGGATGTGAATGAATATTTTGTTAGATCTGTCTATGTTCGAACGGATGGCGAATGAGAGACCATCGACCCAATTCAATCTGCTAACCCTCTTAAAAAATGATATTATGTTTTTATATTTTGTATGTTAAAAACAAATATATTTTATTTAGTAATAATATTAGTTACTTATGAAATATGAAAGTTTTGCCTTTATTTTAATTATAAAAAATTATGAATATAAACATTTAGACTCAAATAAGGCCCAAAATAATATAAAAAATTATTGTAAAATAATTCCAAAAAAAGTATAAAATAGTAAAATCTAAATCACCAAATCAATCTGCATCCACTGCCAACTCTCACGACCTGCTCAAACTGCATCCACTAACCAAGTGGATGGATGTAGAATGATTTTTTAAAATCCATCTAAGTTCGAACGGATACTAGATGGAAGGTCACGTGACCTAATCCAATCTACATGCACCCCTAATGTGTAATTTGAAAAAAAAAATTTGAATTTTTTTTTAATTTCAAATTACAAGATTATTTTTTTTTTTAATTTGAATTTCACCGTCATATTTAGGCTTATGTGGCCTATTATGGATTTCATTTCAAGAACAATTCATTTTGTAGGGCCCTTTATGTTTATTTTTATGAAAAAAATTAAGTCGATCCGATAATCGCAATATTTTTCATTTTATCGTGTTTATTTCTGAAAAAAAATGGACAACAAATGTATTGAAAATAGATCATTTATTTTTTGGAAACAAACACATAAAATGAAAAAATTATAATTGTCAAATCAACCTAATTTTTTTCATAGATAATATATATGGAGGCCATATGAAATAAACAATTTAGATTATTGAAACGGGACCCGTGGTAATTTTCACAGACCCAAACATGATAGTTAAATTCATTAAAATTTAAGAAAAAAGCCCTCCCAAAAAGAAAAAAATCACATAGTTCAAAATACTTATCTGATTTCAACTCCTCTATGCATATTAGACATTGGATGCTTGAAGGTAGCCAATTGAAAGAGAAGAAAGAATTCTTTTGTTGAGTATTTCCAGAAGAAAAAAAAAATGCAAAAGAATAAAAAAAAATATACACTTTACCTCCATATCATTCAAATATAGCTAGAAAGTCCCTATATGATTTTGCACTAAAGTGCTCCGTTAGTACTGTTAGTTTTTTCATTTAAACTAACGGAAGGTGTATTACGCACGCCATTTTTTAGAGTGAGTTTGATTTTTTGAAAAATTAGGATGAAATTAATACAACAAAAGAACAATCCATTTTCTTCAAACTTAAAATTAGATTAATATGTTAATTAATATTAAATTAAGAATTTGTCACAACCCAAACCCGGTATCCAAAGGCTCGGCATCGCAACAAGATAAAAATAAAATAATTCTAATAATTTTGTAGTCATGGTGTAAGTGGACAAATTAAATAAATTAAAACAAAATAATTAGGTACCAAATGTTTATTAAAACGAGAGAAGAATAGTCATTTGGGCTTTTATTTATTATAGAGTGCAATAAAAATACAGGTAGTAAAAAAAAGAAAACACTGTGAGTTGTCCCCCATCTTGATCCCGCTAAACCTCGTTACCTGAAAGGAGTAACAGCTATAAGCACATAACAGAGTGAGAAATATTATACTGTGAGCATAGGGGCACGAAATAGCCATGAATAGTTATTTAAGTTAAAACATTAACATAATTTAAGTTGAATAAACCAATTAATTAAGTGGCAGAACTGAAATATAGAAATTACGTAAATAATTATAACCACGGTACAGGACATAACAGAATGGGGGTCACTAGGGTGACAATCAGAACAGGGGTCAATGGATCCATGACAAACAGATGACTGCAAGGTGGCCAAACAAGGGCCAATGATTTATTTAAGTTCCCCAAGGCATGAGACTCCCGTGGTGGTACTTACAGAACATAATTGTTTATAAAATCTTTGTCAAATATGGGTTTCAATTTAAGCAAATAAAATTTAGAAAATAATCCACGTAATTGAAACATTAACATAACCATGGAAACATAAATTATATAAAATAAATTGTGGTAACTCAAAACATTCGTAGAATATATTATGGTATCTCAAGACATATAGAAAACATATTATAATAACTCAAGGTATAATATAACTCACCTCTGATATAAATTTATCCTTATTTTTCCCGTGCTACCAAACCTCCCGTGCTATTCCTTCTTTTACTCTTCTCGTTGATTGCCATCTTTGCTTGTAACACCCTGAAAATTGGGCAATGTATATTTATTTATGCTACAAAACCCACCTGATAGACAAACACATATGTATAACTAACTATTCCATACATCCATTTCCATTAAATCACAAATGCCAAATACATGTTATTCACATCTCGATGCCCTAATTCCAATCCCGAGCATACATTTTACATCAAGTATGAAATGGAAGCCAAATAGATAATAAGTGTCCTACAGGCTTACATTCAATAAATAACAATAAAACAAAAATGAAGTCTTAGCTCCGAGTCCTTCCAAGTCAGTGCCTTGGTGGAGACATATAAAATGGTTTCCCTTATAGGGTGAGCTACAACCTAATAGAGATATACTACACAACATATGGACCATGACAAGATTAAAGAGAAGTATGCTCATGACATGCTCGTGATAAAATAGTTTATCTCTCTTTTTATAAAGCATACAATGCTGAGATGCAACAACAGATATAAAACCATTTTCATTTTAAACCATATCTGTTACATGAATACAGGCTTTGTAAATCTCTAAGTGAGTGTCTACAAGTAGGCCCTAATGTACCACCGCTGTCATTTTTACTAGTAAACTGGAAGGCTCAACACCTAACCGCGCGGTTCTATACCCCCTACCCAAATTCACCAAGTATTTATCTTTTCGCAAACAAATACATTTCCAAACATTTCTAAAAAACAGATACATTTCCAATAAAATGAATGTAATGCAATGTCCAATGCAACAAATGAGGAATGTGGTTTAATTTACCTAAGTCTCATGCATTTCTACAACAATCATGGCTATCCTCCACCGATAGCCCCAAACAGATATTTCTAAACGGATATTTAAACACTTAAATTCCAAAAAAAAATTCTGATATATACAATCTGTTTCACATCTCATTAAATATGAACAACTACACTAGTTTTTATATCACAATCACGTCCGGTAACCTCTCAAGGTCCATTTCTAACCGTGTTGGTTTTATTTCAACAGATACATTAAACAAAATAATACCGTTAATGCCCAAGAAAACATCATTTTCTTTCCAAACTCATTCTCCAAGCATTATTCAACTATGACATCCTATTTTGATCAAAAGCCCCAAAATTTAAACGTAATTCATTTATTTTCTTTAAAAATGCTCTTTTGGTCGCAAATCGGTAAAAATTTGAAAACCAATTGAGTCGAAGTTCGTTTTTGTTCAAATTTAAAACATAGCTTTTTCAAAACCTTACAAACATATTCCAAATTTACACTTTCGCAATTTGAGCATCAACTCTTTATTTTTCTCAAAATTCCCCTTTTAAGC